CGGGTATTTTTCAAAGTTTGAGGACCTGGCTGACGCGCCAGCGCCAGGCGGCCACGCCCAGGAGGAGGACAGACCTCCAGCGCCGGCCGCACTTGACGGCAGGCTACCGACCATTACTGAAGAGTCAGAAGCGGACCTGGAAGCACACATCATGGACGAGTGGCATGTGGAGCTTCAAGAGGAAGAGGACTTCCTCGAGACCCCCTTATGGGGATCCTTGTGCTTTCTACCCACCGAGATTGTTACCGACAGCCACGCGCTCGTGGCTGTGGCCAGCGAAGACCAATGACACTTGCGAGAAACATGTAATGCTCGGAACCATGACGCCGACGAAACTTTTCTGGCACCTTGGACCACCGAATGCGACGAGACTTACGATCTAGATTTGGACGACCACTGTCAGTCTGCTGAGTTATGCTTTACTGCTGACGTGGCCAAGGTAGTTCTATCAGACCAACAATGCGAGTCTCTACACAGCGACCGATTAAAAACAATGCGCGCATACGTCTAAGCCGCAGCTAAAAGAGCAGTGGTTGTCTCAGGAGACGACCTCCCAACGGGGGCAGAAATGCGAGCCAACCCGACGCGTGTATCTAGAGCCCTGTCGACTGAATTCAACACATGTTGTGATAACACACGCTTCAAGATACAAGACACCAAGAATGTTGCCAATACCATGACCTCTAGATACTTGCACGCTGGGAAGTTTGCCAAAAGCGAGAAAGGCGAAAAAGAACGAACAATGCGACTGCGCCTCGTTCTTCGCGGTTCAATAGATGTCGAAGCATTCGGCGTAGATACCTCCTCAGGCACAGCTCGTCGAGCAAGCCAGAGATTGCTCGCCGGCCCGGCCGCGTGCAAGAAGCCGGGGGTCATGGCATCCATGGACATCGAGGAGGCTTTCTTGCAGGGTCTGACTTACCGTGAGTTGGCAGAAGTCACTGGAGAGGAAGAGCGCATTGTTTGCTTTACTCGTCCACCCATTTCAGCCTCGGCGCCATGCACATTGCCCATTTTTTTCGTCTGATGGCGAGTCGAAGCGCTGTCTTCAGCGCCTTGAAACAGGCGCAGTCACCAACCGGACGACACTCTCACTCAAGTTCAGAAACATCACGCGAGGGTTTGGGCTAAAGCCTACGTCGCCTGATGAAGAATTTGAGACAAGCCCGAGCCTCCTCACAGCCAAGGTCGCTGATGACATAAACATGGCAGGAGCGGGGGACACGATCGACAGGGTCGTCAAATGTGTAGAAGGCGCGCTCGGCGCCTACAATCTGAACAAGCGCAGTTGCACCAAATGCGCCGCGCGATGCACTGAGACCGAGGACGGCCGCGTCCAGCTAAATCAGGATGAATACATACAGCTTTGCCCGGGCCAACATCCTGAACTTGCGGGCGCTGTAGCGGAATATGAGACAACGAAGATCGTATCCGACATGTTCATCCGCGTGCGTGGCGTCTCGGCGTATGCGTTGATCACTAAGGCGCGGTCAATGGCGCGCGCGGTATCCGAGCAACGCGCACAGGAACCCACAGACCTCCAAGTACGACGACTTAACGCTGTCACGCGCAAGCTTCAGCAAGGTCAGAAGACAAGACTATATCAACTTATGACTCCGACAGGTGAAGCGGACTTTCATCGTGACTCAGGATACAGTCGCCTTAATCGGGGCGAAGACGACGCAGTCATGTGACATGGCATCCGAGGGGCCAGCCTCTGACGGCGCGGACCCGCGCCAACTTGCAAGGTGGTGGTACATCTGATTGATGCATGTTGCAAGTCGCATCGCTTGCAGGTGCGTTCCGGCTACTCAGTTGAAACGCGGGCAGCCGCTCGTAATTTTGGGGGTGCTACGATACCGTAGCTACGCTATTCGAGCTTCATGCTGGACCCTAACGCCCACTCGACTCAAGAACATGATGGAGTTAGGCGGTCACAGCATTACGGCCGCCCTTACTATAGACGCTGAGTCGGTTTGCACATCTACGTCAAGCCAGGACTTGAAGACACCGCCTGAATGCACCCTGCTGGGGCACATCAGATTGATGAAACACATGATTGGCCGAGGTGTAGTTCATTGCAAGAAACGGTGTTTATTGCTCGAGATATGACTGCTGACTACCATGCCGAGGGCGCATCGATTGCGCGTTACTGCTTCAAGCGATGGGCGGCAATCAGTCCGTCAAGTGCGAAGTAGAGAAGTGCATGCCCTATCGAGGCAGGAGCGACGCGGCGCCAACAGAGGGTGCCTTATTCAGGGCCAGCGGATACCAATGAGGGCGACTAGCCAAACTCAGACAAGTAGTTTTCCTTGCCCTGACACGGGTCTGCCTGCCTACTGCGCGGTTATCTTCGCCCGGTCACGGGCGTGGACACTCGTAGCTCTGCAGCTGCCCTGAGTGCCCGGGCACGGGCAATATTATTTTTTCCACTGGGGGATTTGACCGGTTGGTCATATCCCCTCGCGCGCTGCACGCTTTGACGTCCAGCCCGCTGGCTGGACGCCCCCCCTTACTTGTTTGTGGGTGGTCATGTGGACTTGCCCGTGACTGCCCATAATCGTTTGCGGCTGGTCGTGGCAATGCGCAGCGCGCAGCTCTTATGATCTGCGCTGCCCTTTCTGTGCTCTGGTATTGCATTGTGTTCGGGGCGCTGAAAAAAAAACAGCCCCCTACCTTCTTGACTTGAGTTAAATAACCAGGACTTGGATCTAGCGTTCGGCCCCTCCCCTCCCGATGTTCAACGAGGTTTAAGCAGAGGCTGTGCAGCGAACGCTACATCCGACGCTGTCTTTGCTCAAGATTGCGCAGTCCTATGTGCTGGGCGCACTGCACTGTGTACCTCTATTTGCGTTTCATAGCAACGGCCGAAGGCCACGTCCTCCTATGATCCATATCTTGATCCCGTGGCTTCTCTCTTACCTCTCGTCTTGCTTGCCATCAAGGGATACTTCGACACGTCGCCGACGTCATCGTAAGAGTACGGTTCCCGGCTTATTACCGCATGGTCCAGCCTTGTGCCCTTATTGCAGTGGCCTTCGGCCAGTGCCGCCGATCCGGGGCGCTCCGACTGATGTGATCCTTCTTCGCCCTCGTCCCTCCTCTCTTTTTCCCTTCCCTCCTCTCACTTAGCATTTATCCAGTGGCCGTCGGGCTATCCCGCCACCGTGCGTGGGTGGTGGGTCAGAGGCCTCATGGATGCTGGTTGGGATCTCGTGGTTGGCTGGGACTTCTGGGGGCCTCTTGGGCGCCTCTTGGGGCTTCTTGGGGGCCTCTTGGGCTTCTTGGGGCCACTAGAGGGCCTCTTGGGGGTCTCTTGGGAGCCTCTTGGGGCTTCTTGGGGGCCTCTTTTGCGCCCCTTGGGGCCTCTTGGAGGCCTGCTCGGAGCCTCTTGGTGCGGGAGGGGTGGTACTCGAGTTCGGAACCCCCTCGGAGGCCACGATCCTTGTGAGGGGTGTCAAAAAACGCATCCGCCGGAAACTCGCACCCCCCCCCCCACCTCCCCTTCCCCGGCAGAGCCACCCCGGCAACCCCCCCAGAGGCTGAGGCTCAGCCTCGAGGCTGTAGCTGAGACCCCTTGAAACTCACACGCCGGATCGGCGGATTTCTCACTGCGCGAGCCAACAGAGGGCCTTTTGGGAGCTAGTGGGGGGCACGGCTTGCGTTGTTAAGTGGCGCGCCGCAGTGAGGACCCAAGAAGCCGTCTTGAGAAGGCCAGTTGAGCGCATTGTTGTGCTCCACTGGAGATCCATGGGGCGCAAAGTGCGCGAGGGATGCACGGACATGAAGCGCCCAAAAGAAGTCCAGAGCACATTTGGAGGTCCATAGGGCACGCAATGCGTGCGTGGTATGCCGGATAGAGGGTTTCAAGAGAATGGAGGTGCGAGTTTGTGTTACGGGCTGGCGGAGCGCTGACCCGCTCTTCGCATGCATGGACGCAGCTTCACACTGCGAGGGCTCGTAGGTGGCCCGTCGACTTGAAGCTCCTTGGAGCCGTCTCGAGGGTCCAGTTGAGCGTCCACGAGAGTCCATGAGGCACGACATGCTGGAGGAGTGTACCGACTTGGCGCTCCTGTGACCCGTGTTGCGCCCCAGATGAAGGCCTTTGAAGGTCCACAGCGGAGCTCTGCCTGGTACACACTAACGCACGCAACGTCAGCATATTCCATCTCATCATCACTTCATCTGCCCCCGAGGCTTAACACGGTGAGGGCCCGCAGGGGGCCCGCGAATTCGACCAGTCCGCGCATCCGCCAACCCATGGAGCATCGCAGTCCCCAGTTGCCTGCGTGCTCGTGGCGCCAGTTCGTTCATTCCCTTTTCCAGAAGGGCTTCGCGTGCGCCCAGATGGAGTTCCGCGGCGGTCGTTCACAGCGATGCTGCGGGAAAAAACCAGCCATGGTCGTATCAATATTGATTCCCAGAGGCCCCATCCACGAACCTCCTGGGGCTGGGGCCTCGTGAGCGCTTCTGAGGGCTATTGAGGGCGTACTGGCGGTCTCGGAGGTCCTCTTGGGACCTTTCGGGCCGTCCTGGAAGGCTCTTGGGCAGCATTTGGGTCCTCTTGGGGCGTTTGGGTATCTCTTGGGGAGCCCCCTGTACTTCCCCTGCCCTGCCCCCCCCCCCCCCCATTCATCCGCAGGTCTGATTTGTTCAAGTTGCGGGGCCTCGCGGAGGTCCCGACCCCTTCTCTGGGAGCATGCCTATGGAACGAGTTGCCCTAACAATGGGTTGGCCAGGATGGTTGGCCAGGCATGGCCGCAGGGTCGGGTAGGGCTTCCCGGAGGGTTGTCTTGGCTCGTTGTAGGTTCCCACCACATAGACCATACTTTCGTCATGGATCCATCGTTGACGACCCCGGGTCCCGAAGTAGGGCCTCAAGCCGAAATCGAGGAGGAGCGTCAGTTTCTTTAAGCCGGCCATCCAGAGATTTGAGTCTGCTCTCCGCCACTCGGTGCCAGTTTTGGTTCTGTGATGCTCTGGGCTGGCCACGTCCGCAGGCGCCAGCGTGAATTGGCGGCGCTGCTTCCAGGTCAACGCGACGGCCGACGCAGGCGGCCAAGGCAAGAGGGGAGGGAGGCCTCGTCGTCCTCCCGCCTGGGTCAGCTGGTTTTGCGCTGCTCTTCCACACGAGGGACTTCGTGCACGCAAGTTGCCGCATCTTGGTGTCTGCTCCTCCACGTTGTTATCGCCGTGGTTCCCCTCTTTCTCCTCCGCGATCGTGCATTCCGTTGCGCTCCCTGCGAAACCCTGGGCAGTGGGAGGGGAACCCTCCTCCCACCCTTCCTCCTGCTCTGCCCTCCTCCCTCGAGGCCAGAGCTCGGCGAGAGCCGAGGCCATAGTGCCTGCCCGTTCGCCGGCAGCTCAATTATTGGCACGACTCCCTCGGGCCGGGTCCGACCCTCATCATAATCAAAACAGGGTTTGCCTGGCCCATCTTGCCAGCATCTCGTCACCCGTGGCTCATATTCGCTGCGGTGTCAGGGGAGAAAACAGTAATCATCCTCCCCTCGCCCCTCCCTCACCTCCTTCTCATCCTTCTCGCCTCGTCTTTCCGCCCAGCTCCCTCGGCTGCGCACGCTCCTGACCCCACTCCTCGCTCGGGGAACGCTGTGTGAGTCCCGGACCCGCTTCCCTGAGGGCCCTCTTTTCCCTGGTGCTAAGGTTTGGGAATCCAGCACTCCAGGCGTCGCGAGAAGCGGCCCCGGGGATTGGGCCGAGTTCCTGTGGGCCCGACGTCGTAGAAAGAACGCAGAACGAGCAACTGGCGACGGTGCCCCACCCGTCCTGCCCGCCCGGGACCGCTCGACCGACCCGCCCGCTTCGATGTCCCGCCCACCCGACCCGCCGTCGTCGTCGTCGTCGTCGTCGTCGTCGTCGTCGTCGTCGTTTGCCGGCGTACCCCGATGGAAGCGCATTTGAAATGCGTTCTCTCAGAACACGACGTCGGAGGTCTTGGGAAAATGGAGACAAGGTGGGGGAGGAACAGAGGAAGGGATCGTGGCGCCTTCTGTTTTGTTTGTCCTGTTTGCGGACCCTCGTCGCCACAGCTGGATCCGCCTCGAGATCCTGATCGTGCCGCGCTCCTGGAGAGGCAGTGGCGATAGGATACGGCTCGCCCGTCTGCCCGCGGAGCTTGCAAGACGCGGTATGGGGACGGCGAATTTGCCACCCCAACGGACCCCGCAGGGGCGCGCAGCCAAGTGGCGCCAGTTTCACGTTTAGCAGTATCCAAGGCGGGCGAGGTGCGCGTCGGACGCCGCTGCGTTGGACCCACCAGGGAAAACAGAGAAATGGCGACAGCTGCGCGCCTGGCACCACCCAAGGGGGCAAGAGTCTAAATCTCGTTCCGCTGGGACCCCTGGGGGGGCAATGGAACGAGGACCGCTGCGCACCCGGCAGCGCCCCTGCAGGGCGAGGTCCCATTTGTGCTGACTTTAAAGGCAGCTTTCGCCGAGCTAGCTGATAGAGCGAGCATGGAGCGACCGTATATGAAACCCTTATGGGCTCAAGGGGCGACCCCTGGATATAACTATTGAGTCTTGACAAATCATACTGACGACTATCGCGTAGAGGAAGAGATATTATTTCTACATCGCCTCATGGCTATTTTTCTACTTGGTAGCGGAGCTGGTTACACATTTGTGTGGCTGGATATGTTGCTTACACACTTCCACGGCATGATGTGGATGACCAAGTTGGACAACCATGCGCCGACATCCTTTCGGGGAACAGAGCCAGGAAGCTGGCGTAGACAGCCCGTCAACGGGCTGGTGCTCAGCAGTGAGCTAGATTCGGCAATGGATCTACCACATCAAGCACGTCCTATGTTGATCGTCGGCATATACAGCACGGCTCTACGTCACTACGCTCCGCGCGACGTTTGCATTCAGCTTGGCAACGGGCTCAGTTACGACGACTAACCACTTGATCACTACGCTAAGCATGGAAACGTGCAGCCAAGACCCCTCTGGCGTCTGACAGACGGCCACCACCCACAGAAAGCATAACAACCGAAGGAACCATATACCTTCGGCTAGCATCGCGATATTCTAGACGCTTCGCGCATCCCCACCAGCCCGTCCAGAAATGAGCCCCAGGGTAGTGGAGGTCATGAGGGAAGCGGGGGAGCATGCAGAAGAACAAGGGCGGGGTAAGCCGCCATATACCCCAAGAGGGGGAGGATGTAGGAGGAGTCGTCGTCGCCGGAGTAGGAGGAGGAAGAGGAGGAGCAGGAGGAGGAGCAGGAGGAGGAGGAGGTGGAAGATGAGGAGGAGGAGATGGAGGAGGGCGAGGACGTGGAGGACGAGAAGGAGGTGCTGCGGAGGAGAGGGAAGGGGAGGAGGGAGGAGGAAGAAAAAGAGGAGGAGGAGGAGGAGGAGGAGGAGGAGGAGGAAAGGAGGCAAGGAGGAGGAGGAGGAGGAGGAGGAGGAGGAGGAGGCTTGGGGGCCTCTCAGGCTGTCTTTGGGGCCTCTTGGCGGTCCTGGGGGCCTCTTGCGTATCTCGGGGAGCCTCTTGGGGCCTCTTGGGGGTCTTTGGGGAGCCTCTTGGAGGCCTCTTGGGAGCCTCTTGGGGCCTCTTGTGGGCCGCGCCCGAAGGGGGGCGGCTGGCGGTTCCGTGTCACCGCGCGCGACTGCGGGTTTTGAAGCGACGCGCGGTCAGTACCATGTCGAACCAGGCGATCTCCACCCTGAACGCCTCGGCTGGCTGCTAGCAGGGGTCTTCTGCTTGGCGAGGTGCGCTCGGCGCGGGCCCCGCTGGCGATGGTGCAGCGACATGTATGTGCCGCCTCCGCGGCGATGGGCCCGCCTGCCTACTCTCGCGACTTCGGGGGCCCTGCAGGAACTCTGGGAGTGCGCGGTGTAAGGAGGCACCCATTTCACCGTGGTGCCACACGACGAGTCGAAGGTCAATGGCCCGGCACCGTTGGAAGATGTTTGTGGGGCTGGTGGTCATAGCGAAGTCGACGGGTTCATCGTTTTTTTTTTTTTTTTTTTTTTTTTTTGTTTTTTTTTGTTGTTTTTTTGTCTAAAACAAGAAGCAGCTTTCCTCGACCTGAAGAGCGCCCCTAGGGAGACGCACATGGATGAGGTGCTGCGCAGCTCCCCGCACGAGTACTGGCGGCTGGTCAAGAGGCTGGAGCATATTGGCATGGAGAATTCTTTACGATTCGCGTATCCCCACCAGCCCATTTCACAACAGCAATTTTTGCGAAGCATGCCGACAGTCGTGTTTTTCAGGCGTGTGTCCGCTTGCCCCCGCATATCTCCCCTGTTCCTCCTTCCTCCCGCCTCCTTGTACATCCTCCTTGGGGGGGGAGCGGGAGAAGGACGAGGCGGAGGAGGAGGGAGAGAAAGCGGTGGGAGGCAAGAGGGACTTAGCGGAGACGACGACCACAGCGATGATCTGAGCAACGACGACGCACCCGACGACGACGACGATATCGACCGCAACGACGACGACGACCACAACCGCGATGACGACGACGACGACGTCGACGACGACGACGACGTCGAAGGCGGCGGCGACGACGACGACGACGACGACGACGACGACGACGTCGACGACGACGACGACGACGACGACTGGTGGGAGTCGTTGGGGGCCCTCGTGGTGTGAGTCCTGCGGCCCCGTCGTCCTTGTGTGAGTCCTTCGGGACCCTATTCCTGGTGTGAGTCGTTCGGGCTCCTCGTTGTGTGAGTCGTTCGGGCCCCGCGTCCAGGTGTGAGTCGTTGGGGCTTCTCGTGGTTCGAGTCGTTCGGGCCCCTCGTCCTGGTGTGAGTCTTTCGGGCCCTTCTTCCTGTGTGAGTCGTTCGTGCTCTTCGTGGTGTGAGTCGTTCGGGCTCTTCGTCCTGGTGTGAGTCGTTCGGGCTTCTCGTGGTGTGAGTTGTTCGGGCCCCTCGTCCTGGTGTGAGTCGTTCGGGCCCTTCCTCCTGGTGTGAGTCGTTCGGGCTCCTCGTGGTGTGAGTCGTTCGCGGCCCTCGTCCTGGTGTGCGTCGTTCGGGCCCCTCGTGGTGTGAGTCGTTCGGGCACCTCGTCCTGGTGTGAGTCGTTCGGGCCCCTCCTCCTGGTGTGAGTCGTTCGGGCTCGTCGTGGTGTCAGTCGTTCGGGCCCCTCGTCCTGGTGTGAGTCGTTCGGGCTCCTCGTGGTGTAAGGCGTTCGGGCACCTCGTTCTGGTGCGAGTCGTTCGGGCCCTTCGTAGTAGTAGTAGTAGTAGTAGTAGTAGTAGTAGTAGTAGTAGTAGTAGTAGTAGTAGTAGTAGCAGTAGCAGTGACACTAGCAGTAGCAGTAGCAGTAGAAGTAGCCGTCGCAGTAGAATTAGTAGTGCGAGCAGTAGTAGTAGCACTAGTAGCAATCGTAGCAGTAGTAGTAGTACTAGTAGCAGCAGCAGCAGCAGCAGCAGCAGCAGCAGTAGTAGTAGTAGTAGTAGTAGTAGTAGTAGTAGTAGTAGTAGTAGTAGTAGTAGTAGTAGTAGTAGTAGTAGTAGTAGTAGTAGTAGTAGTAGTAGTAGTAGTAGTAGTAGTAGTAGTAGTAGTAGTAGTAGTAGTAGTAGTAGTAGTAGTAGTAGTAGTAGTAGTAGTAGTAGTAGTAGTAGTAGTAGTAGTAGTAGTAGTAGTAGTAGTAGTAGTAGTAGTAGTAGTAGTAGTAGTAGTAGTAGTAGTAGTAGTAGTAGTAGTAGTAGTAGTAGTAGTAGTAGTAGTAGTAGTAGTAGTAGTAGTAGTAATGGTAGTAGTAGTAGTATTAGTAGTAGTAGTAGTAGTACTATCTCCGAACAGCAACCCCAGCGAAGCATGCCGACAGTCGTGTGGTGCAGGCGTGTGTCTGCCTGCCTTCGCATATATCCTCTGCTCCTATGTCCTTCTGCCTCCTTGTGCAGCCTCCTTGTGGGGGAGCCGGAGGAGGACGAGTCGGAGGAGGAGGAGGGAGTGACGGAGTTGGGAGGCAAGACAGAGGGCGGTCGTCGTCGAGTCCAGCGATCTTTCCCGACCAGCGTCGTCGTTGTTGCCATTCTGGCTCACAGTATTGCAGTGTGGCTGTGAGCTTAGCTCCGCCTACCAGCAAT